GGATCTGAATCCATGCAGTTCTCCAGCGATTTGACTTTGAATAACGAAATTCAAACTATCTACGTCCTTATTCTTTGCTGCTAGTATTGCCCGTTCACTAATCCAATCGAGATTTTTATAATTTTGTGCAATGCCCGACACTTTTGTGATGAGTTCCTCTTTCGACGATGTGAACTCGCAAAAATTAGCTGGGAACGATATTAGTCCAGTAGAAACATCAACAGTAATTTCGCCATTGCCAAGCGCCAGCAGTTGTCTCGAGTATTCAGCAGCGGAGGGGTCATTCTGCAGTGCGACACTCATATTAGTGGACAATTTAAACTTCTTGACATATCGCCATAAAAAGGACGATTTTAGGCATGCATTAACTTCATCGGCAGCCGTAGATTTCGGGATGACGGGAAGCGTTTGACGAAAATCTCCGGACAGCAATATCAAAGCCCCACCAAATAGTTTCGAATCACCTCGTAAATCCTTCATCGTTCGGTCAACTGCCTCCAAAGCTCGTTTATGCGCCATTGTGCATTCATCCCAAATGATTATTTTGAATTCTCGCATCAATTTCGCTGTCGCCGAATTCTTGCTCATCGCGCACGTTGGCTGGTCAACCGTCAGAAGATTTATGGGTAGCTTCAAAGCGGAATGTGCAGTACGACCGCCTTCCAACAATGTAGCAGTAATGCCAGATGATGCAACAGCCAGGTTAGCTTGATAAAAGTGGTGCTCCCGTTAAAACTCGCTATTGAAAGCATCGTGCATTGAACGATTTGGCGCTGGCATTCCCAATGTCGCTAGTAGACTGTCACACATGAAAAAGAAATTTGTCAACGTTGTCGCTGGTGGCCGTTCTGCTCTTTGCGCTGCGTTCGCGTCCGTGAAGTAGACACGCTGGCCGTTCTCCAAGTGAAGAGATAAGTGCATGACAGTCGGGTCATGTTCATGAATCGGAAATGAAAATAGCCGCCAAATGTCCTCGTTACAACTAACGTAGCGTCGGACATTCTGAGAATGTATCGCATTGCGTGAACGCCGTCCAAGTCTTGATCTAAAAGCAGGCATTATTTCCAATTAAAACTTTTGCAATGTTTCGTTAACTCGATTTTTTACAGTTTTATGTACTTTTTTTTTATAGTTTATTGAACACGCCACACAAGGATGAACCTTGTTTTCGTGTATTGACTAATTATTTCTAAAGATCCCAAAAAATGCGGGTAACGGGTGCTCCATTCTTGAGCAAATCAGGTGTGGTCATAGCCGGTCAAAAGTTAATCAAGATGTGTTATTACAGAAGGCGACCGTGTCTGTCACGGCCGAGAATCCATAAGTCTGCCGGGTGTCGTCTGCGGAGACGCCGTCGACCCAGTGGTGTTGCAAGATGTCTTGCCAGACAGTTTGCATGTGTGAGCAAACGTTCCCGGTATCGACTTGAGGATTTACAAATCGTCTCTGTTACCGTCGGCACTCCCGTGTCCTGGAACATAACTCGGTTTTCTACATAATGGTGCCACTTCACCCCTAGCATCCGCCTGAGAGCCTTTGTAATGCATGTTTGCACCCTTTTTAGTGACGAATCACAGGCCGTGCCCCAGCAAGTGATTCCCCAGTTTAAGGTTGGGAGGACAATGGCCTTAAAAAGCCGCACCTTAGCTTCAAGGGATAGGCCGCTGCCTGGACGAAGGAGCCAGTCCATTTTGTCAAGTTTTGTTCTTGCTGATCCACAAACTCGATCAATTTGTCCCTTCCAACAAAGGCGACGGTCTAAGGTAACTCCGAGGTACGTCACCTTATCTTCGTGCTTGAGCCTATTTCCATCAATGTAAAGGCTACGCGAACGGCCAGGGCGGAGAGCAAAAGTGGCATGTCAACATTAAGCGCAATGTTCCATCGAGAGGCCCAGCACTCAAATTCGTCTAAGAATGTCTGGACACGTCGGGACGCAGACGTAGTGGTGCTACCAGCTGCAAGAAATGCAGTGTCATCTGCATATGTGGCCAGGAGTGTACCACGAGCAACTGGGTTTGGAAGATCCGAAGTGTAAATTGTATACAGGACCGGGCCAAGGACGCTTCCCTGCGGGACACCAGCACGAATTGGGCGAAGTCCAGAACGGTGTCCACGAATGTCTACAGCAAACTCCCTTTTATCTAAAAACGATACAACGAGATTCCAGAGCCTTTCAGGCAAAAGCGGCATTAGCTTGTAGAACAGTCCTTCGTGCCAAACCCTGTCAAAGGCCTGTCGAACATCGAGAAAAACGGCTGAGCAGTATTTGTGGTCTTCGAAAGCCCCCAGGACATGGTTAATTACTCTGTGCACTTGCTCGATAGCACTATGGCGACTACGGAAACCAAACTGGTGGTTCGGAAGTGCGTCTTCAAAGGCGTTAATAGCTAGAAGTCTACCAAGCATGATCCGCTCAAAAATCTTGGAGAAAGTGGACAGCAAACTAATCGGCCCATAAGATTCCGGGCAACATGGGTCTTTTCCTTTTTTTTAGTTTTATGTACAATAATGAAGGCATTATTTCCAAAGACTGCTGCTTAACAGTTTTTTGTATAACAATGAATACATCTCTTGAGCCGATAGCGACTTTTCCGGCAGGTTTTCCCAAAATTTTCTTTTGTATTAACCTTCCTCTGGCAATAACAAACAACTGAAATCAGTGACCTCAATATCCTTTTCTGCACCAAATAACTATCCTCCTCTCTTCTTCTCTCCTATCAGAATATAAAAAGCTTTCTTGATAGGCTTGTTGTTGTTGACTGAAAGCTCATATTTGAATTAATAACTTTCGAAGATTTAAATGAAATTGAATTCCTAGGTATACAAGTTATCGTTTCCCAGTAGTTTTATAAATATTACTTGCTTATATACTCGACCATCATCATCAGATCCCTATTTATGCGAATCGCCTTATTGAGCTCGTTTCAAATAAACTGTCAGAAAAAAATTAGTTACTAGTCCCCAGACTAAAACTTTCTTTAGCGCAGCATGACTTTATTGACGATTTGCTTGACATAACGCTATTTTAAGTAAACCACGTTCAGACCTCTGGTTTATTAGGATCGTCGCCACTTACGCAACACAAAGATGCCTATCAGAGAACAGAGTTTAATGAAAATTCGCAAAAGTCTGTTAATCGAATTCACAAGGCAAACTTTCATTGCTTACATTACAATATATTGAAATGCATGAACCTTTGAGAGTATATTGTAATGACTATATCATATTATTTCTAATACTGACTCGTTCCCAATATTAAAAGCATTAATTGTATTTTAATTAGCACGAAACTAGCATTATCTCGTTATTACAAGCATATCTGGGTGTAGTAAGGGCCCCTTGTTTTAATAAAAGGCTCCCGAAATTAATATTATATTGCTAGTCCCCTCCACTTTTTCCCTGTTCCTAATAACAGTGTTACATATTAATATATTTACCTTAAAATAAAGAACCCCAAATAAACGTTTGATAAATCAAATATACCGTCAGGACTCAGTCCTCAATTTCGACCTAGTCCTAAAAATGTTCTTTAATGAGAGGCTTATAGCCCACCCGGGAGGTAATAGTTGTCCTTTACAACATCAAAAACGATGTGGAAAAGAAGGACCCTATTGAATGATCTAACAATTGGTGTGTATAGCCAGTATACAATGGAAGTGGAGAATACCCACTTAAAAATAAAAACCGCATTTCTTAAATTGAAAAATATTTGGTTTCTCATACAATGCCTGTCTATAGAAGGGGCACACGACTGGTGATATCGCTTTTTAACTTCGTTACAATTTTTACTCATTGCTTCTTAAGCAACCAATAACTGTATCTCATATATGCGTTTATCTTTAAAAGTAAACGGTTTAATTTTGTTTGAATTATTTTTTTATTTGTTCCGATGGCTACATGATCCGATACTACCGAATCTGTCTACCTTCTAATTACAATAAAGAAGACTTTTGGACAAATGTAATCTCGTTCACTGCAAGGGTATAACCACAAGCAACAGCTAGACTTACATTTGGTGTTCAAAGTAAGTTAAGAATCCACTTATTGGTAGAAATATGATTACAAATCGAATCTACTATACCTTTAAATGTTCAATATCTCTGTGACCGGACAGATTTATTACACAATTAACCGTTACTGCGGTTGTCTTTCCCACTAATAATGAAGTTAGGTTTTTATACCCTTGCAGAGGGTATTATAATTTTGGTCAAAAGTGTGCAACGCAGTGAAGGAGACATCTCCGACCCTATAAAGTATATATATTCTTGATCAGGATCACCTCCTGAGTTGATATAGCCATGTCCGTCTGTCCGTCTGTCCGTCTGTCTGTCCGTCTGTCTGTTTCTACGCAAACTAGTCTCTCAGTTTTAAAGCTATCGAATTGAAACTTTGCACACACCCACCCTTCTTTCCTTTGCACGCAGTATATAAGTCGGAACGGCCGAGATCGGCCGACTATATCCTATAGCTGCCATATAACTGATTGATCGGAAATGCCATAACTTTGCTGTTTGTAAAGTTAGGAAGTTGGGATTTTCTATGCGTGTTATATTTGGCCAATCAATCCGATCTACCTAAGGATCGGCCGACTATATCCTATAGCTGCCATTTAACTGAACGATTGGAAATACCATAACTTTGGTGTTTGTAAAGTTAGGAAGCTGGGAGTTTCTATGGGTTTTATATTTGGTTAATCAATCCGACCTACCAAATTTCATAAGGATCGGCCGACTATATCCTATAGCTGCCATTTAACTGAACGATTGGAAATGCCATAACTTTGGTGTTTTTAAAGTTAGGAAGTTGGGATTTTTTATGAGTATTAAGAATGCATCATATGAATAATTTTGGAGAATATAATGTACATAATATTCTGCAAGGGTATATCAACTTCGGCTCCGCCCGAAGTTAGCTTTCCTTTCTTGTTTTTAAATATTCTCGTTTCCTTGTAATTATATTGTAAAATATTATAAAAAAAAATTATTTTATTATTTTAGATATAACAGCAAATCAGAGAACTTCAAATAAATGGATTAATGGCCAAGATTATTATAGATTAGATGGAAAAACTCCTAAGAATGTACGACATGAAATGATAAAACGATTTAATAGTGAATCGAATGGACGTGCTCGAGTTTTCCTAATATCATCCAGAGCTGGTGGTCAAGGCATCAATTTAATCGGCGCAAACAGAGTGATTATTCTCGACACTTCCTGGAATCCGTCTAACGATCAACAAAATATTTTTCGAATATTCCGACTGGGTCAAAATAAAAATTGTTATATTTATCGCCTGATTGCAATGGTATGGTTGGAAGAAATATATGAAAACTTATAAGTCCCTAATCTATTTTATCCTTTTTTACAGGGCACTATGGAGGAAAAGGTTTACTCTCGATCCGTTACAAAACAAGCAATGAGTTTCAGAGTAGTAGATGAACAGCAAATAGACAGACATTATAATATGGCCGAGCTGGCAGAACTTTACACGTAATAATTTAATATACATTTTTAATTTTGTTTGTAAGCGACCTTTAATGATTATATAATATTAAAGTTTTTCCGGCTCGAGGCCATCGGTTGAAAAATTGAAATTGAAAATTTGAAAAGAAAAGTTTATAAATTTTATTCTTCCAATATATTCCGGTTGCACTTCGGCAAACGTCTTTAGGGCAACTATTAAGAACATAAAACAAATACAAATAACATGAATTTAGACAACGAAAACTAAATTTAAAATTATTACACCTACGTAATTTTACACGCCTGTACCGTCGGAATTTTTATTTAAGACTGAACTACAAAACATACGTTAAAAATTGCGGTCATATTTACTTAAATAAAAATTTGTATTCATCTCCCCGTCCAACGGTGCAGGCGTGTAAAATTACGCAAGTGTAATAATTTTAAATTTTGTTTTTATTGTCTAAAATAATGTTATTTTTTTGTGTTTTATGTTGTTTATAGTTGCCCTAAAGACGGTTGCCGAAGTGCAACCGAAATATATAGGAAAAAATATAAAATAAAATTTATAAACTTTTGTTTTGAATTTTTTCTACCCATGACCTCCAGCCGGAAAAGCTTTAAAATAAATTTTTAAGATTTAATGCTATAAGCATATTTTTTTATATATATTTTTCACGCAAGAATGCTTCAATCCTAGGCAGCTAGCTTATCGGCCCCCTGTAAGTTCGGCTGTCTTGTTGTCTATTTGGTGCGTTGCTGAAGACTGTGGCAAAGGAACTGTTGCTGTTTGCCAACGATGGAGACATCGTATTCTCATTATATCCATTTGTCGAAAAGTCTTTCATAATGTGGGGATAGTAAACTGAAATCAATTAAAAGTAGGCCGAAAAAACAACTTCGACATCATTCGGGTCATCGATGCAGGAACTTTTGGCCTAGAGTTTAAAATAGCTTCCACTTCGTTAAACACGATTTAAAAGTAAAATTTACTTTGGAATCCGTTTTGGGAACAAAAGTCTTCGTGGATTTGACCGCGGCTCGCCAAATTCAACCGAAATCGACATGGGAGGTATAACGAAAAATTCAAAGCTTTTACAACTGATTTATTATTGAAGAAAGTTTAATAAAACGTCATCAAAAAGTTTTTGAAATCAAAAATGGTTGATTCTGGTAAAACGCTCAATGTTTTTTGTATCACCTGTTTCTTATAATGAAATAATTTTTCTTTCCTTAACGCAACCGCTCTGTCCGATCAAAGTAAAGTAGTGGTCCCAACACCTCATCTTGATTTAACGTCTAGATTACCGGCCAATACTGGTTTATAATGTGAGGATTACAATTTTCCTAACACTAAGCCTCTTTCTCAGCATCGCTATCATTTGAAATTTTTAACGGAAACAATGATCAGACAATTTCCAATCTACTTCCCCAGTTTTTTCAGACAAAATTTTCAGCTTCATCCCGTCCAAATCCGTCTAATTTATATGACATGTTCAGAAGAGAAGAAGTAACATCCGTATGGAGCATAAACTTACTCTACTTATGCAAGGTTTTTGCCAACTGAGATGACACTCAAAAACAATGATCGAAGCTTTCGCAAGTAGATTAATAAACAAAATCAAGAAAGGAAGCTAGCTTCGGCAAGCCTGAGTTTATATACCTTTTCAGTTATTGAAAAACGACTACATTTTGATTTCTATGCCTATATTACTAAAAACAAGAAAGGAAAGCTAACTTCGGGCGGAGCCGAAGTTGATATACCCTTGCAGAATACTCTGTAAATTATATTCTCCAAAATTATTCATATGATGCGTTCTTAATACTCATAAAAAATCCCAACTTCCTAACTTTAAAAACACCAAAGTTATGGCATTTCCAATCGTTCAGTTATATGGCAGCTATATGATATAGTCGGCCGATCCTTATGAAATTTGATAGGTCGGATTGATTGTCCAAAAATAAAACCCATAGAAAATCCCAACTTCCTAACTTAACAAACACCAAAGTTATGGCATTTCCGATCAAACAGTTATATGGCAGCTATAAGATATAGTCGGCCGATCCTTATGAAATTTGGTAGGTCGGATTGATTGGCCAAATATAAAACCCATAGAAAATTCCAACTTCCTAACTTTACAAACACCAAAGTTATGGCATTTCCGATCAATCAGTTATATGGCAGCTATAGGATATAGTCAGCCGATCCCGATCGTTCTGACTTATATACTGCGTGCAAAGGAAAGAAGGGTGTGTGCAAAGTTTCAATTCGATATCTTTAAAACTGAGAGACTAGTTTGCGTAGAAACAGACAGACGGACAGACGGACAGACAGACGGACAGACGGACATGGCTATATCAACTCAGGAGGTGATCCTGATCAAGAATATATATACTTTATAGGGTCGGAGATGTCTCCTTCACTGCGTTGCACACTTTTGACCAAAATTATAATACCCTCTGCAAGGGTATAACAAAGGAGCTATGTCGATTTTGCACTGCAATTTTTCATCGTTTCTATGGCAGCTACAGATATTGTTGTCCGAAGCGTAATTACGATAAAGTAAATAATTACAATATCTCAAAGAAATATTTTAATAGATAGAAAAACAGTAAATTTTTTTTCATTTTTATTGTTTTAACTTTTTGATTTCCCTATGGGAGCTATATGATATACATGTCCGATTTTTATCTAATTAAAACCGTTATTCCATAGTATTTAAATATAACCAAATCCCAAAGCACAAAAAAAAATTTAAGACAGCACAGTTATACTTTTTAAAATTTTTGTCAGATTGTCAGAGCCAAATCCGGCTCGTTTCGACTTATATACTACCTGCAATAGATAGACAACTTGGGAAAGTTTCAAGCAGATATCTTTAAAACTGAGGGACTAGTTTTCGAAGAAATGGACGGACAGACAGACGGACGGACAGACAGACTGACGGACAGACTGACGGACAGACAGACGGACGAACGGACGGATAGACGGACGGACAGACGTACGGACGGGTCGCAAACTCTTGACTGAAATTATAATATATAATAATATAATATATAATCTATATATATAAAAGAAAGTCGTGTTAGTTACTTCACTTATAACTCAAGAACGGCTAAACCGATTTAGCTGAAAATTGGCAGGGAGGTAGTTTAGAGCCAGGAGAAGGACATATGTTAGTTACTTCACATATAACTCAAGAACGGCTAAACCGATTTAGCTGAAAATTGGCAGGGAGGTAGTTTAGAGCCAGGAGAAGGACTTAGGGCATAGGATACTTTTTATCCCGTTCGACAGACATCAGTCACTATAAAACGTGGTATGACAAAAAAGAATCAGACTTGGAATGACAAAATAACAAAGCCAGCTATGTAATGACGTATGGATGACAATTTGATATTTGTAAGAAATCTATATATATAAAAGAAAGTCGTGTTAGTTACTTCACTTATAACTCAAGAACGGCTAAACCGATTTAGCTGAAAATTGGCAGGGAGGTAGTCTAGAGCCAGGAGAAGGACATAGGACATAGACTACTTTTTATCCCGTTCGACAGACGTCAGTCACTATAAAACGTGGTATAACAAAAAAGAATCAGACTTGGAATGCCAAAATAACAAAGCCAGCTATGTAATGACGTATGGATGACAATTTGATATTTGTAGCAAATCAATAATAAAACTATTTCTATTAAATAAATATTACCCATTCGTATAAGCAGTGAAGTGAAGTTTAATTAATAGTGCCGCGACCAAGACGATCGAATCTTTCCCGACTAAGCCGTGATGCAAGAAGAATAAGAAATACTGTAAATGAAAGGACTGAAGAAAAACGCGATATTGTGCTTACACGTCGCGATACTGCAACTGCAAACAAATATCTGAAACTCATCGATCATATGACACATTGCAATACCCTCTGATGTTTTGGCAAGGAGAAGATGGATATTATTTTAATATTAAAATGAAAAATCCATTGAATGGTGAAGAAACTACAAAGAAAGTTAGCTCAATGAATTATTACAACATATTGTTTGATGATTCGTCAAAACGCTGATAACTATTTGCTGCGGTTTCGTCAATTGTTTCAGCAGTATTGCGTTGACAAGTATGTTAGAATAGAAACAGAACGTTTAACATTCATTAGGTTGAACCAAGCCAAACTGCGTGCTGAGGAGTACATCCATTTTCGTAATGCAGTTAGTACTGAAGGAAATGCAGCTAATATTGGTCGATTAACTATTCTGCCGGCGACATACATTGGTAGTCCACGTCATATGCATGAATATGCACAAGATGCAATGACATATGTTCGTCATTACGGTAGGCCCGATCTCTTTATTAACTTTACCTGTAATCCAAAATGGATAGAATTTACTCAATTGCTGCTTCCCGGACAAACATCAAGTGATAGACACGACATCACAGCACGTATGTATATTCAGGAAAAAAATTCGATCCCTGATGAACTTTATTGTTAAACAACGCGTCTTTGGAGATACTCGATGCTGGATGTATTCAATCGAATGGCAAAAGCGAGGCCTGCCGCACGCACACATACTTATTTGGTTAGTGGAAAGAATTCAGCCTGACCAAATAGATGATATCATATGTGCCGAGATTCCTGATTATGAAGTCGATCCAGACCTACATGATGTTGTTACCACTAATATGATTCATGGACCGTGTGGTGCCATCAATCCCCAATCACATTGCATGATCGATGGAAAGTGCTCTAAACGATATCCACGGAAATTAACGGCGGAGACTGTCACTGGCAATGATGGTTATCCGCTGTATCGGCGTCGATCACCAGATGACAACGGTCGAACTGTCACAACGAAAGTGAATAGAATTAATTTCGTTGTCGACAACAGTTGGATTGTTCCATATTCGCCAATTATTTCTAAATAGTTCAAGACACAATGCAACGTTGAACACTGCAATTCAGTTAAGTCCATAAAATATATTTGCAAATATGTCACGAAAGGCAGTGATATGGCGGTTTTTGGATTGCAATCCTCGAA